CTCTAACGGACTGAAATACACATTTAAGGGAATGATTGGTATAATAGCATGATTTCCTCATTTTGACTATAAGTTTCAGATAAATAATAGACATTTCTTTTTGCTCATGCTGGCTCACGCAGCTCAGGCGGGGCTCCGCCCACAGCGCCCCTATATACCGGCCGCCACTGCTCTGAACTAAACCTGTAACCAGCCGCAGCATCATTATGTTGTTGAGATAAGAAGCCAAATAAACATATGTGCACATCTGCCACGTGGTCAGACTTAACACTCAAACATTACCGTTTATTTTTTTATCCTGCATACATACATATACGTATCATTTTTGAGAAAAACTTTTTAAAAAATGCTATTTTAAACATAATTTTATTAAGAGTCTGTGTTTAACTGAACAAAAATTAATTACACAAGGTGCGGCATATTCTCAGCTAGAGTTACAAAGAACATTTACATACATTTTACAACTTTTCATCCTTGAAGTTGGACACCCAATATGTGTAACTATATTCTGGACTTTATTAATTTTGACTTGTCATAAAAACATATTTCTCTGTTTGGCCTTTTTGTTGCACTTTCATTTGGAACTCATGGCTGGGTCTTAAGTGTGTCTCCACTGCATGGCCTAATTAAACTGCTTAATCAGTTAACGACTCCAGCGAACACAGTTAAAGGGGAATTAAGCGCAAAGAGATTAAGGAAAGGAGCAGTGGAAATGCTGAGGAGACGCTTCACCCGTCTCCAGTGTGGAATAAAATCGAGGATGGAGCTGAGCAGAGAGGGCCATTAAAATATGAACAGAGGGTGCTGAACTGTTTGCTGTCGTTCTGCTCAGGGCGAGCGAGCCAATCGAGATGCTTGTTTAAATGTGAGATGGGACGTCTTCACAAAGAGGCAAATTAAAAGCACTTTGCTCTGTTAAGCAGAGGGGAGACAAGGGAAAAAACAGAGAGGAAAAACAACAACAGAAGTGAAACACATCTTAGAGGAACTGTCTTCACTGCGTCTTTATGGTTCTCATGTGATTTCAGATCAGTTGCGCTTAATAGACTTCAGTGCGAAATTTATTATGGTTCAATTTTGGCATAAAAATACATAGAAAATGGCAGTAATGTGTCATAATGTTGCCGAAAATGACTTTTACTTCTTCCTATAGATGAAGTCTTTAATAACTGGGAGACATAAAAAGTAGCATTGCTTCTCTGTCCCTCCTTTTTCTCTCTGCTTCCTTCTCCTTCCTTCTAATCTCCCTCCTTCTCCTTTATTCTATCCACTGTCCTCTCCAGGTTTCATTTAGCTTCCCTTTTTTTTTTCTCTGATTCCTAAAACTTCTTGTTGTTATCTCTTTCATGCTCTGTCTCTTTCTTTCCAACCAACATCTCTTTTTTGACTCAGCTCTGTTATTGACTGATGGGGACCCACCAAAACAATTATTTTAATATTATTTTACATTTAAGAAATGTATCTCTACTCAGATTTTCATACAAAAGCAGGACATTGTATTATTTCTAATATTAATATTGCATTTTTTAAAATATGCATCATGAGTGTATATTGTACCAGTCTGCCCATTTAATAGTTTTTCTGTATTTGTACTATTCTCCACACTGTAGGACACTGCTGAAGACATCAAAGCTATGAAATAAAAGATATAGAATAATGTAGGAAGCAAAAACTATCAGTGAAAAACAGTGTGCCACCTGGAACGCCTTTCTAACAGTCTTAAAGGAGCTCCTGCATATGCTGAGCACTGGATGAATTATTTTCTTATATTCTATGATCCAACTCATCACAAACCATCTCGGGTGGGTTCAACTCAGGTGACTGGAGAGGCCAGGCCATCTGATGCAGCGCTCCATTTGTCTTTCTTTCTCCTCAGACAGACTGCACTTGAAGAATTTCTTTCGTAGGTTCTGGACATTTTCCAGACTGATTGACCTTCATGGCTTACAGTAATGATGCAGTGTCATTTCTCTGCACTTACCTGAACTGTGGATTACTACAGTGGTTGAACAGGGTTGTTTGCTGTCCGTCAGCACTACCTTGGTCCCTGACGCTTTTGGAAGGCAAGGCATTCTTGCAGCTAACTTTTGACAAGTCTCACCTGTTAACTGAAAACCATTCCAAGTAATAACCTCATGAAGCTGATGCCAATAAAGATATTGGCAATAGTGTGCAAAGCAGTCATCGAGGCAAACAGTTGCCACTTTGAGAACCATGAAATATAAAATATTTCAACACATTTCTTTTGTTTTTCTCGCTAACAACTCATTTTGGTATCTTCAGTATTGTTCTACCAGAAGATTCTACTCAAAAGAAAACCCCTTGATTGAGAAGGTGTGCCCAGACCTCTTACTGATGTGCTAGTCACCTCCTTCCTGACCTTTGGTGTTGGTAAAGAGTTTATTACTTCTGGCAGCAAAATGCTACCATATTGGCGCAGTTGGTAGCACTGTAGCCTCACAGCAAGAAGGTTGCCGGTTCGTGTCCCGGTAGGGGCACCCGGGATCTTTCTGCGTGGAGTTTGCATGTTCTCTCCGTGCAGCGTGGGTTCTCTCCGGGTTCTCCGGCTTCCTCCCACAAGGTCCAAAAACATGTTGAGGTTAATTGGTGATTCTAAATTGTCCGTAGGTGTGAATGTGAGTGTGCTTGGTTGTCTGTCTCTAAGTGTAGCCCTGTGATGGACTGGTGACCTGTCCAGGGTGTCTCCTGCCTTTGCCCTAAGTCGGCTGGGATAGGCTCCAGTGCCCCTGTGACCCTAGTGAGGATTAAGTGCTGTATAGATAATGGATGGATGGATGGATGTTACTATATTTCATGTTAGTCCGTGTGAGGTGAAAACAAAAACCAAAACAAAATACAGTTTGAAAAGATTGGATTTTAGACTCGGGGTTCATTTGAAAATGCTATGCTGTGCTGTGTGTCTTAGTGACAGTCCCTGACATGGCTTACAGTCCTTGAAATTAGTAGATCGGTAGCTTCAGTGCTTCAAGGCTAGGCAGAAAACTGATGTACTCATCTCTGGCACTGCTGCCTGGCCATCAGACGTGGAGTGTCTAAGAAACAATATTGACAACTGTCAGTATTTGTGCAAGCATGTCATACAATGTGATTGCAAATACACAGTGATACATTTGATAGTGTTTGTAATCCTTTATATACCAAAAGACTTTGTCAGCTGAAAATTGTACATGTTTTCGCAGTACACTTCTTCTTAGCATTGAAGAAAATAAAAGAAAAAAAATCTCTTCACAGATATGTTTGAAAATGGTCCATTATTAAAGCAGATAGCTGACTTTTTTCTTCAAACAGTGAAAGGGAAAAGAACCTGTGCATCTCAATAGCCCTCCAGTTCTTTTCAATGTGTAGAACAGATTCTGAGTTAGAGCGACTTCATTTAGAAATATTTGGACCTTTTCTAAGACAGTATAGAACAGACCATTTTATGAAGTTCTATTAAGGGAGAATAGCTGTTATTGCCACCACCACCACCTCTTAAGCCCCATACTGATCAAACTATCTTAAGATCATTATTCATTAAAAAAAAAAAAAAAAAAACAACAGATCCCTTACTTACTATTGGTTAGCATTAATCATGTTATTGAGGGTAAACTCTTAGTTAATTGCTTATTAGCTGTAGAATCAGTGAGAATAAGGCATGAATAGGTGCATTATAATGACTAATAAAGAGCCAATATGCTACAGATACACATGTAATAGTGAATATATGTACCTTCATAGAACATGGTACCAAAATAGATATGATTTTCTATCTATCTATCTATCTATCTATCTATCTATCTATCTATCTATCTATCTATCTATCTATCTTTTTTTCAAATCAAATAATTCTGTATTTATTAAATAACTGAGCAATTACATAATTTTGCTCCATATATATATAACAATGGAACATCCAGCTCTTTAATAGACAATACTGAAAGTAAATGCAGGCCATTTTGGACCTTGTCGGCCGTGCATTAAAATCTTCCAAACACCACACGATTGAAACTGCACACATAAAAATTAAAAGATAGACAGGCCTACTGTTATTTATTTATTTTAAGTCATTTAGTAGGATGGAATAAGAAAATTGAAGAGATTCAAGAGGTGCAACTGAGGAAGTAAGAACATGAAGTTAGGCTGATACCATTTGTTGATTTAAAGAATTGTGGAATTGGGCAACCTAAGACATTTTGGGTCTTAGGATTTACTCACCTTTAGATTTCCCTCCCCACCAGGTGCAGCTCAGTCTTGACAAATTTGGATTTACGCACTCATTTCTAATTTGCTGCTTTCCGTCTCCCATCTTCCTCATTCTCTCACGTCCTTGACTCTTCGCCACGTTCTTTTTTTTCCTCTTCATTTCCTGTACCTACATTTTCTCTGTTTCACCATCCTGTCCCTCCGTGTTCTCCTCCCTAATCCGCATCTCCTCTCAGCCCTGCTCCACACACCTCCACTTTCCTCCTCCACTCAGCTCCACATGCCTCTCTGACTTCCTGGATCGAGCCCAAAATAATTCAGTCTCATGCAGGACACTGTAGGGGAGGAGAGAACTGGAACGCAGAGGGGGGAAGAGAAAAGAGAATGAGAGGAAGTGATAAAAACAGAGGAGAAATGGAGGGGGAAAGAGCTGAACAGCATCTGCTGGCCTCCAAGGTAGCGCAGTGAGCTCGACACAAACGAAGGCTCCACATTCTGCAGAACAACATCACAGATTGTTAAAGTTAGGTGTTAAGATTTCAGGTGATTATCGAAATTTCATTACACACTTTGAGTATTTTTGGGGGGGATTTCTGCTTATCTCTGCGTGCATAGATGTCTAAGTATGAGCTTGCACATGTGTCCAGCGAAGCATATGTGTGTGTGTGTGTGGGTGTGTGTGCATATATACACCTCTGTGTGTCCAGCGTTTGCAGGCGCTGAAGGGGACTGAGTGTTTTCTGACGCCTGTCTAGCTGCGCCTGTCTCACTGGGCCATGGAAGTGTCATCTGCCCAGGCCTCAGCGCTCACACACACACACACACACACACACACACACACACACGGGCAATCGCACATTCTCTCTTTCACATCGGTGAGGAACAGAGACAGCCCAGAGCTTGCTGTCATCTCATCACACTGTGCAGGTCCGGCCATGTGTGTGTGTGTATGTGTGTTTATGTATGTGTGTGTGTGTGTATAGGAGAGAGAGAGAGCGAGAGAGAGAATAATATTGTCGCTAAACAGCAAGTCTGCTGTCACTGTGGACTTCAAACTTAAGGTAGCATCTAAAAAACTTTAAGAAATTTCTCCTTTTTGAAGTCCGCTGATAACATCACAGCGGTGCCAAAAACTGTCTGAAACGCAGACATCGGTGATCGCGGCCCCCAAATCAAACTCTCCTGTTTTGCCTGTTGTCTGTGACTTTGTTTTCGTAACAATTAGGCCATATGAAAATGCTTGAAAAATTACTGCATTGTGTAATTTCCGGCAAAATGCCTCTTTGTGCCACTACCATTTCTACTCATTACGACTGGACCCAGTGTATTCTAATGGAAAACCCAATTAGCTTGTATGCAGGACGAATGCTAATGGAAATAGCACAATTCTTGAGTGCTTAACAGCATGCATTTATGTGGTGGTTGGCTGCACAATTCATTTGGCAACCATCAAGAAGTAATTTGAGAAGAGGTAAGAAAGGCTGCAGGATGATTAGAGAAAATATACCTGTTTATAGGCACTGAAATCCAGGCAGTGTGGAAAACCCTCACTTTCATGGATCTATTTGTTTGAAAGCTTTGAAAAAGACTATACCTTTGACAAAATAGAGGTTGAAATAAAACACGAAAATGGCGTTCTTCAACAGAAGCACGCGACAAAAATGAATAAACGAATAAAAAGTCAGACGAAGGAGAAGAAGGACTATATGAATAAATTGATTTAAAAAATAAATATAAGCTGAAATCAATCATCTTTTCACAGATTCAAATTGCACCGCCTGATTACGATAACTAAATAGCTATATGATGCTGGTTATTGATGTCCGTAGCTTGTTTTGTGTCGCGCGGTTCGTTGCTGTCTGGCTGTTCAAGGCACCTTTTGACAGAATGTTACTTTATGCAGTTAAATTCAAATGAAGTGATTTGATTGCAACCTTGAACCAATTACATACATATTTATCTTCATTGGATGATGATGAAAGCGTAGGATGTGCAGTTTACAAGACAGACCTGCATACTGTAGTTGGGAAAAAGAAAAAAGGAAAAAAAAAAAAGCAATTTTATTCCAAATTGAACACAATTTCAGATGAAAATAAAACTGGTCAAACAGTCAGATGATAAGGAATTATAAACCAGAGCTATAGCAAATCAGACAACGCTAGTGTTAAGCCAACTGATTAAAAGCAGATGTTTTACACAATCTGACAACCCAAGAGATGTTTTTAATAAACACTGATACTTGACATTAAAAAAAAATAGCAGAGTTAGAAAAAGAAATAGTTATAAAGTCATTACTCAGAACGCAAAAAACTTATTACAAATGGGACCTTACAAAAAAAAATTATAGAAGAATAACATACTGCAATACATTTCTAGACACTTACATAGTCCAGAACCAAAAACCTGTCTGACACACACGTCACCCTCCCTCTCCACTTATTATCCTCGTCAGCTCAGTGGCTCATGGTAAGCATTAAAAGTGACCTGGTTCCTGCCTGCTCTGGTTACCACGGGAGCAGCTGACAGACATTCCTATTCACAACAATAAATGGGGATGGGACGACGAGGGGAAAGAAGGTGACATGGGAGTGAGAAGACAATGGCCTCTGTTTCCCATCATTTTCCCTTGTCATGCAAACTTTAGCCTGGGGTAAGGTCGAGATAAAGTGAATTGGAAAATACGGGACAAAGAGAATGATGCCAATAAATGACAATATTAATAATTATGAGACGTATTACATGGAGTATGTGATGGCACTTCTCTCTTATCTTTCTCTTTTTCCTTGATTTTTGCTCACTTTGGCCTCTTTAATCAGTCATGACTCTTCCATCCCCTTTACCCTTTTGTTCGTCGTCCTCCTAACTCTATTTTTCTCCCTTTCTTTCCTCTTCTTCTTTCCTTCTTCTTCTCTTACCTCTCATTTCCCATCCACACTTGTCTTTTCCCTTCCTCGCGTCCCTCTCTGCTGCCTGTCATACAGCTATCTGTCTGCTATACTGAGAGCGAACAAAGCATTACCCTACAAGACTGACGCCAGCTACCTTGCATCGTGCTAATAGCAGCACAGCAACTAAGAATGCATACATGTCATGTACCAGGCTGCTGTGTTGTCAGCTCACAGCCCTGGCAGTCGACAGACAAGAGCGAGAGAACAAGATCCTGCTAATTCTCCTTCACTCTAATACACATTCCACGACAAGTGGACGGACAAGGCAGTTTCTGTCATTTGTGGCAGACAGTGTATGATGGGTCAGGCTGAGAAGAAGTGTGAGCACTGGGAGGGGGGTGGTGTGAGCTCAGGGAGGTGAAGCTCATTAAAACAATTACTTATTTTCATAGTCCTGGCTTACATAAATAGAATAATACAAATAAAGCATTTTTCACACATGGAACATTATCAGTCTGTTAAAGTGACAGAACTCTGTTGTTTAGAGATAGGGCACTTCTACTTTAATGGACCTCGTGGCTTTACTCAAACATACCCACTGTGATATTTGTCATTTACACAAGACTGGACAGAACATCAAGTTCTGTGTAACACATAAGAATTTGCAATTAAACACAAGATTGAATCTAAATTTATAGCAAGTTTATTAAACAGTCCAAATAATTCATAGCCTCATTTATTTATGATTTCCTAAACAATGAAAATTGTGTGTGATGATAATCATACCACTACTTTACCAACAGTAAAAGAAGAAAAAAAGAAAAGTTCCAGACAGCTGCGAAGGAGTTCAGGGCTCAACCTAAGGATGACCACTATGTAACAAATGATTTCACTGTGGATTAAAACATGCAGCTGAATTGAAGTACACAGTTTGACTTGTTAGATCCTGATTGATCATATGTCCACGTCAGGGATAATTTAGAATGTAAGTAATTAATGTAGTTATACATATGGATATATCCAGATCCTGCTGCTGTCTGATGTTGAGGTATTTAATAATTTCAGAGAAAAGACTCCTACAAACAACTGGAAGCAAATAACTGAACTGTAATTGTTCACGTTTTGCTAAAACAAGAAGACCAGATTACATTCATTATTGGTGAGTATGATTGATTTTAGCCATTAGTCTCTGTTTTTATTGAAGTAAAGTTTTTTAAAGATGTTTTTCAACCAACATCGGTGCTGAAATGTGGCCTTCCCCAAATTGCTTCACACAACCCAAAGTACTGTCGAGCCCATCTGTTAATGTGACAGCATGCAGTTCAGCTTTGTGCCGTGATGGCAGCGATATCGAAATGTTTCAAGGGCTGAACAGAAAAGTATCCAGAGTGCTCATCCAGACATGAAGCTGACACATTTAGTTGCAATCAGATACACGATAAGGAACGCGTGTCTGAAAGGGGCTTAATATGGTAGTCAGCATGAGCAATGATCAACAGAAAGGGGGAAACAAATCGGGGATCACCACCCACAGAGGCTCAAGTCTCAACAGTAGACGCAGGAAAACAAACATGCTGCAAAAATGTCACTGAAAACAAAAGTAAGTGGTGCATGATTGTTAGGCTGTTTTTAAGTCATCTGAGGCAAGTTAATTCTCAGGTCATTAAAAACATGCCCATGTAAAGTCACTGGAAACAACTCCAGTAGCAAAGTCAAGAATTTAATAGGTCCATAATGGATCTCATACAATAAGGAGAAGTGCATGCCAATTCTCAAGCTATGCCATGTTTCCTGCTCTCCTCCCCTCACCGTGGCTTGTATAAACACCATGTGTGGAGGTGTTTTCCCTCTCTCTTGTTTCCATGAACATCCCAACTTACAAGCACTAGATCACAAGAGATTTACGAGTACCTTTCAGTTCGGTCTCTCCTCCACCCTTTCCCCTGCAGACCAACTTAACCCCCTTTACACACCACCCCCATCTATGTCTCTGTCTGTCTGTCTGTCTCCAGGAAGAGGAAGGATCAGCGGGCCAGCTGATTTATGAGTGCTTAGCTCTTTAATTCTCCACTATGTTAGACGAGCGTGTGTGTGTGTGCGTGTGTGTGTGTGTGTGTGTGTGTGTGTGTATGTGTGTGGACTGAGGGCTGGTGCAAGGTTTGGGAGGGTGTCTGTGGTGAGGATTGCGGGATATCAGTGGGTGGAGAGGCATATGTTTTGTTGGTGTGGATGTGCTGTTGCTAATGTACTAGGTGGGTCTTACTTCCTTGGTATAAATCACGGATGCACATGCGGACACACATGCATGGCATAAACACAGAAAGTATTGAAGTCAGTAGGACAGACTGTGTATAAAAGATAGATGTAGTCTCTGGGTCTGACAAATGAAGCACGGAAACTGGATTCTTTCAGACAGACAGCAGGGGGCGACTCCTCGGATGCAAAAAAGACATCAGACTGTTTAGAAATCCATGAGAGAATGGCCCTACTTAATTTTTGATTTCTTACCTCAGTATACATTTTCCTAACGAGTGTATGGTTTCAATTGCTAGTATCCAAAATGAATTTTTTTGCACAGATTTACAAAAAGAATCCCCACCAAATTCTTGAACATGTTTCGCCTCGATATGTAAAAATAAAATAAAATGTTGAGGTGGATTTTACAGATATTTTTGTAGCATTGAAGTACCTGTAAATTCAAATTGCAAATCCAGCTCTTGATAATCAATTTCACTGTTACAGTCACAGGAAAGACAACATGTCCATCAAGCAGTGTTTGGAATAGCACTCGGCAGTTCAAAAACTCAGTTTTATAACAACTTACAATGATAAAGAAGACAAAGACATGAAACCGTTGGATATGAGCTCACTTGTTTTCCTCTATAAAATATCTTGGTTAGTGGATCACAGGGAGAGGAAACCACGCCACGCTGCATCTTCCTAAATGTACTGTATGCACCAAGCCTCAGATTTAATTTACCACCATGAATTAGTGTTGTAATGCGCTGCCCTGCCATCACTAAATGTGACAGCACACGTGAGAAAGGACTATTTTTACACAATTGACTGGCAAACCTTTTTGGTTCAGTGGAATTACGGCCTGATTAATCAGCCATGATTAGCATTTAGCCAGGCCTCGTGGAACGTGGGGCCGTGATGTAGGTTATTTATTTATATACCTCCACCCTCCCGTTTTTCTCTGACACATTAAGCTGCCAGTCTCGTCAGGCTGACAGGGTCAGTGCCACCGTTCATTATGGGACCTGGGGAAAAGACGAGATGGGCCTGCCAGAGAGCTCAAAGCTTGCTGGAAGCCACAGTGTTTATGCTCAGCCTCCCTGCTCTGTGTCTCTCATGTCTTTCTCTCAATCTTGACAGTCTAAATGTAGAAGCTGAAACACATGTAAATGAAAAGCTTTCTTTTTCTTTTCCTGGTAAGCTTCAGTGAATATAGTTTATATATATATAGTTCAGTGAATCAGATGTTTGAACTTGTTAACCTGTACTAATGGTGTTTAATTGGCTAGAAAACACATCAGGAGTGAAATAAGAAGTCAACACCAGCATTTCCACCTTGAAATGTACCAGTGACAGTGTCAAAAGCAAAATTTCAGGTAGCCAGAAATTCATAACTAAATATATAAAGAAAAATTAAAAAGAAAAAAAAGAACACCACACCAACTTGTAGAGTGGGGCTTTTAGTTTCAGAGGAGAAGCAAAGAAGGAGATCTAGTTTCAATTTTCAGCTGCAAAGTTGCAACATGAGCAGCTGTTAGTCTTTATGTAACATGAGCAACACATTATCAGCTAATTGATAATGTAGTCAAACCAAAGGCTTGTGTTATAATTATGTTACTAATGATGTAGAGAGCGATACATCAACTTGCATGTGACCCTGTACAAGTTGTTCTTTTTTTTCTTCCTCTTCACAATTGGTTTTCTGCTCAAACGTGTGTGGCTCAGGTATTCTAACACTGCAACTTGCCACGGTTGTAGTTTTGTTATTCGTGTTTAAGCAGAGTTGAAGGTGAGCAGGGACAGTTTTGATTTATCTGGATTTTATATTTAACCGATACTGGAATTAACATAAACAATTAAAACAAAATGGCAACAATGACATTTTTTTTTAGATATTCTAAGAATCATTTCTAAATAGTTCCATGCAGTTTTTTTTTCTATTTTACAAAAAAATGTAATGTCCAAAATTATTCAGTGACAATGAATGTGGAATCTACCGTTCACAGCACAGCTTACTCCAACTGCTCCACTAACATGATGATGCCACCTCTATGTTTGAGGGATGATAATAGTAAAGAGCAGAACCTGTTATTCATAAAATATGGTTCTTGAAGGTCTGCCCAAAGATTATGCTTTTGTCTCGTCAGTCCAGAGAATTATTTCCCCCATGCTCTCAGAGTACTTTAAATGTTGTCTGGAAAACTCCAAATGGGCTGTCAAATTTTACTTAAGAGGGGCTTCTGTCTAGCCACTCCACCATAACAGGCTGGTGCCTTTCTAACAGGTTCTTCTGTCTCTGCTTCAGATGGCTTTGAAAGCTCTGTTAGAATGACAGATGTGCGTATGGTCACCTCTTTGATGAAGGCACTTCTTCCTTGGTTACTCCATTTGGCTAAATGGTCAATTTCTGGCTCGTAACTTCTTTCATTCCACAGCTATTGATGCTACTGAGCTCATGGGAATACTCAAGAGCTTAAAAATACTTTAATTCCTTTTCCCTGGCCTATACTATTGCTACAATGCTTTCACGCTTTATTCATTTGGCCAATTGATGACTGTAAACTGAAACCTTTCTGTCCCCCTCTTTCTTTTGTTTCTACTATTTTCTCCCTCTCTCTTTTTGTCTCATTTGTCCTCTTGTCTTTACTGTGTGTGTCTCAGGTGTGTCTGTGCCTGGGTGTGGCCACCTGCAACCACCTGACACACCTGAGATTATCCAGCTGCAGTGTTGAAACCACAGCTCATCATTTCTCTCCTCACTCGATCGTTCTGCCTGCACCTATGATACTTTTGCATCCTCGCAGTTTTGCTTTCAGTTTAACCCTGATTCCTTTGTGTTTCAGGTCTGAGTCACCTCCAGTCCTCTATTTGCCACCCCGCTGCCACAACGCAGCTCCACTCTCCAACTCACACTGTCAGATGCCATAATCTCCTCAGTGGTCAAACAGTCAGTCAGCCACCTACCCCACCACATAGCACGATCAGAGCCACCCAACATCAAACACCAAGTTCCTCTGTATCCCCACACCAACCATTTCCATACTACAGCCTCTCCTCTTCTGGATTCCCCTCCTGGCTTCACTCTCATTACTAAACCTATTCACAATAAAACCCCTAAACTGTGCTTCCGACTCAAGGTACTACATGTGGGTCCAGAAATCTCATTAGCCCTAACACTTTTCTGTTTACAATCATGAAATGCACAGCATTTATTGGCAGTTGTTTTGTGACCTAATTATAAGTCCAATATTTACACTGCTTCCAGAGCTATTTGAACATCAGGTTTCCCCCACATTTTAGCACCACTGGTTCATTAATATAACAGAAAGAAAAAGACACAGTTTGCATGACTTAAGCTGATGGAAGCAAACACACAGAGCTCTTTGAAAATCACAAAATACACTTTATGTATGTTGAGGTTTACCTCACTCAGATTACAATTTAAGTCTGTAACAGGCAAAAGTAATAAGACTCACACTATTGAAGGTCTGGGTTTCTACAAAACCTTAACAGGAGTTGATGTTTGGTTTGCTGCTTACAGTTTGTCATTTATTCCTCTTAGTTGCTGCTGAATGCTTTCAAGAATAGCACGTTTTTCATGATGTTTATATGTTAATAGTATGCACAGAATTGTCAGCACACTTTTGCTTGTACCCA